ATTATGCACAGACACCAGCAAACAGTGTAATTTTAGTATTGTGGGGGGCGAAACCACTGGGACCTATAGGTTTTTAACTGGATTTTTTAACTGGCGACATGCCAAATGAATTCCAGAGGGTGATAGATTCTTTATTGAAAGACATTCCTTTTACCAATTGTTATAACGACGACATTTTAATAGCTTCGAAGGGTTCATTACATGAGCACAAAGCGATATTAACAAACATTTTAAACAATTTGGACAACAAGAATATGGCGGTAAAATGGGAGAAATGTGCATTTTTCCAAAACGAAATAGAGTGGCTAGGTTTCAAGATATCAAATTCGGGCGTGAAACCATTCGTGGGAAAATCAGATTCGATTAAAAAAAAATTAGGTCTTTCTTTGGGTCGATCAATCAATATATGAAATTTGTCCCGAATTTGTCTTCCCTAAGTTCTCCTCTACGACCACTTCTCGTAAAGAAATCAGTTTACCAATGGAATGACGAACATACTAAAGCGTTTGAAGAACTAAAACAACATATAGTGAACATAACAGAGAATAATCATTTCGACATAAAAAGGATGTCAAGACTAAAGACAGACGCTTCTCATAGCGGTTTGGGAGCTACCCTAGAATAATGGGATGGGGAGAATTGGAAAACACTAGCATTCGCCTCCCGATTTTTAAAAAACCACGAAAGTAAATATTCGACAAACGAACTTGAATTGTTGGGAGTAGTATGGGCGACAGAACATTTTAAAAATTACTTTTATGGTGCTGAATTTGAAATTGTAACGGATCTTAAGGCATTGTTATCAGCATTAAATGCAAACCAGAGTAATTGAACTATGCATAGCAGATTAACCCGTTGGGTAAACCGACTTTTACCATTTAATTTCAAGATCAAGCACATACCGGGAAAAGAAATGGGATTTACAGTTTTACTGTCGAGGCTACCTTCAGGAAAAGCACTCCCAATCTCACACTATGATAGCGAATTTGTAGTGGCTACAGTACAAAAGAGTGTAGAAAACCTCTCTGTAAATAGCGATTGTAAAAAGAATAATTGTAAAAAGAACGAAGTGTATAATCCAGTGGATGTAAATACGATCAGTAACTTGGATTGTAATAATCCAATGGGCGGAAAGAAAGAATTTTCGCTAAGCATCCAACGGTCGTTCTTCTCGAATAATCTGAATTACGTAAATGACACTATCAGAATTTGTAATTCCAATCACTCGCGTTCAGAGTCTTGCACAAGCGGTTGCGTTCCATTAAATTTATCAAAATTTGACTTCAATTATTTTCACTTATCAGATAAAACCTTTTTATTTTTTCTTGCCCAGTCAATACTTTCAATCAATCAGTCATTAAATTAAGATAAAAAAAAACAGTTACAAAAATTCATTACATCGGTTAACTTGTTAAAAATTTCCCTCAGGGCAGAAAAGAAAGGAATTTTATTGAACTTTAATAACGATACAATGTCAGAATTACACCAGAAATTACTGGCCAAGTACAAGGGAGATCTCAGATTGCCTGACAACCCGTTATCGCTCACAGATCATTGCTCAAAAAAGCTTACCAAACTCATGACGGACGAAGATAAAAGCCTCAAGGAGGTAAAGAAGGCGGTACAGGAAGGCAGACCATTGGACAAATTCGGAGCCTACCTAAAGAACTTGCAGAGGGACATTCACGTGAAAGAAGGACTGTTATTTAACGATAACAAATTGATAGTACCGGCTGCATTAAAAATACCATTCCTGTCACTTCTTCACGAAACCCACCCAGGACAGTTCGGGATGAAAGCCTTGGCAGAAAATATCTGGTGGCCACACCTATACAGAGAGATCTACCATCACGGAAAGAATTGCATTCAGAGTATTATGGCCGGTAAGAACCTAAAAGTGTTACTAGGGACGAACAATACTGAGAAATTACCGATTCTGACCAAACCAAACGAAGAAGTAGATTTAGACTTTGCGGGCCCATTGGACAAGAGTTGGGGTAACTCAAAATACCTTTTGTTAAACATCGATCGCTTTTCAAAGTTTTACGTCTGCAAAGGTAGTGAACAAAACCTCGGCTTCTTCGATTTTAACTTTCATGACAGACTACTGCCATCTTCACGGATTTCCATAGTCCATTAGAGCCGACCATGGGTCAGGTTTTACTTCGCTTGATTTTAGAAACTTCTGTGAGAAGAACAACATTAATTTAATCCTATGTACGGTCGGGGATCATAGATCCAACGGAGTAGTAGAAAGACTCATTTACACTGTCAAAGCTAAGCTACTGGCAATGTCGTTCAACGATCCAAAACCATCTTTAAATACGGCAATTGATAAAAATTTTTTGGAGTATCCGTTCGACGAAACAATCATCCTCTGGATGCTCTTCTTTCTCAAAACATTTAAATAGATCTCCCAATACGTTCCGGAAATCTTTGGTCTCTCACGCGATTAGTTTAGATAAGGGGAAGTCAATTCTATCAAAGGACAGAGCACAAGACTGGGGGGTGACGACGCGTTTGAAGATGGCTATCTGGAAAACAGAATAATGGAGGAAAGAGGGTACGAGAGCGACCCTGCGGACAAAGTAGATAGAAATCTGCAGCGAGCTCTACTGTCAAACCCTTTCAGCCAAGGAGGTAACTGGTTTAGGAGAACAGTTAACAGGAGGGAAGGCGAACCGTATTTTAAACCACTTGGGGGTAAACCTCTGTCAGACACGAAGCATACGGTCACATTAGACAACGGACACGTGATCAGAAAATCTGACTTAGTTTTACACAAAATAAAATCCAACCGGCAGCTCCTAGGACATTTTCGGCAAGACCGAATTCGCTCATTAATAATAATGATTTAGCAGGCAAGCGAAAAAGAAACTCCCTTTCCAAGTGACGGGATTCAAATGTAGGAGGCCCTTCAACGAGTTACACACCAACGGGAGGAAATACAAACAAAAGGAAGAGAACTAACTCTACGAGCACGAAAGGTTCAAAATTCGACTTTAATAGCTTAGATTCTTCGTTAGAGTTAGACCTTTGGGATAAATTCATTGATGACTACTTGGGTACGGAAGCGGAAACTGTATGTAATACACCGACTGTTAACTTACATAGTGATTTAGATCAGCCAAGAAGTACCGTACAAGGCCAAATAAACACTCAGACAACGATCACTTTACCAACGGGCACAAGCGACGACCCAATTCGCGTGGACAGCTCTCCGCAGAAGACAGTGGAGACACCAAAAACTCCGATATCCTTCAAACATCGCGCAAAAGGAACCCAGGCCCCCCTAAATTTTACGGAGATGGGCGTTTTATCGACCAAGTGACGCTTGGAACGGAAACCAACAGGGCAGTAGACTCCGATGACGAACTGCTAATTACGTTCTCCAGCGCAAAGAGTCCGCGATCTAATTTAACTTACTGTACGACGTCCCCTTCGGATTATCTGACACCTATTGAAGAGATCCCACGCCACACGACACTGGTTGCGGAAACCACACAAGGTCCCTTTTCAACACCCTCCTCTCAAGCAACAAAAGCCGCATGGGTATCTCCACCATTGGTAGAAGTTACTAGTAATACCCAGGAGGATGACGGCAGTGACATATCCTCGGGAAGTGACGCTGATGTAAGAAGAGAGGCCGATAACTTCCATGATAGATATAACGGCACGGCCTTAAACTCTGAAAACTGTTGAACTCTGGTTTCATGATATCTTTCGTATTTGCTTGAGCTTTTATCCATTGGATAACCCAAATTTTTTTTTTACTATTATCTAGTTTGTGATTTAGTTAGTTTGCCTTAATTGTATAAATGCTACATAACCCCAGTTGTACATATCATCTTGTACATTCAGTGTTGATATCTGTGTAAACCTGTAAGTAGCCTGTATATATTACCATATAATCACCTCCATTGTAATTTGTACTCTCTGTAAATGTCCATTGGTGCTAATCGTGGTTACTTTTTGTTTCAACTTTGGCCCTGGTGGAGCGAGGGGAGATGGAGTATATGTGTGATATTGGCTACATCGACGGGCGGGCAGATATTAATTTTTTGTGCAGTGGGGAATGTTGTGATTTAGTATTTTAGTATGTTATAACCTTGACCTCTATTATCTAATTAAGTACCAGTCAATGTTCACTCTACGAAGTCCAGTGGACTTCGGATCACTAGTTGCTCTTTTTACACTACAGTCAGCTTTAATTCAAACAATACTCTCTTTGAACTTTAGTTAGATACATTAGTTACCAGTGGTAAACACTACAGTCAGCTTTAATTCAAACAATACTCTCTTTGAACTTTAGTTAGATACATTAGTTACCAGTGGTAAACATAATCTTTTATTAGCTCACTTGGTCTATTAAGGTGGGAGATTGTTCACATGGGTCACGCTTCGTCGGCAGTTTTTTTGTAAAAAGTCATTTCAAATTTTTTGAGTTCGTTTACACTCTTCAGCTTCAGTCACTATGTTTGTCAAAGTTTTAAGCACCGCATGCAATTTTTTCGAAAAAAAAGCTGCTTTTGAACATTTTTCGGAAAATTTTATGTATAAAATTAACTCTTCTTTCACCTTCTGTCTGAAAATAAGCATATAAGGGCACCGAAGGCATGTGAAAATTTTAGGGTTGACCAGTCATAAATGGATGACAAAAAATAGTAAAAGACAATCAGAGTTGAGGGGAATAGAAGTGAGGGAAAAGTGACCCAAATTATATTGGCCAATCTTGCAGTACTAGAAAATATGACAGGAATGAACTGAAAAACCTGCCAGGTTCAAACTACTTAAAGGACGTTGATTGGCTAAAAACTTTTGCTTATTCGGTGTTTCTCTCATAAAAATAGCCCGTAGGCTAGCTATTCGTTTATCCTCCGGACGATTTTTTTGTTCAAGCCGCAAAGTAACATTTTTTCAAGCCGTGGACTAATTTTTTGTTCATGCCGTGAACTAACTTTTTTTCAACCCGTGGACTAACTTTTTGTCCAAACCGTGGACTAAAACTTTGTTCTTCCGTGGACTAGCGTTAAGTTCGTAACGTGGACTAACTTTTTGTTCATGACGTAGAAGACTATTCCGTCACTCATGCAGCTGATGGATCGCATCGCTCTCAGCAGGCGGAACAGGGCCGGGTAGATGGGCAGCAAACTCCAGTAGTGCAACACCTGGTCACAAAAAATAATGAGCAAACCAACCCTTATTAGTGCGTATTGGGAAACGGCTACTGTATTTTCTCATGGTATGAATAGCGATTTTTTCTAACGTTTTAAATTGAAGTCTTTTTGGTTTGAAAAAAAACCCAAACTTTTTTAAATTGTTAGTTACACAATTTTTAAAAAAAAAGATTTTTCTGAGGTCGTGTTTTACAAAAAATCAAAAACTGTGCCGTCATTTTATGCTCCTCAAATTGATTTTCCGAGCTCTCAGAAACACCATTAAGAACATAATTTGGAATAATTTTCTGCATCGAAACAACAGGCCAAAAATGCTGTTTTTGAGAACTTTTTAGAAGATTTGATGACAACGAACCTTTTTGTAGTATGTTATGGTAAACTTTCATCCGTTTGTTATAGTATTTTTTGAGTCATCTAAATTTAATTGTTACACAACACCCAAAAAAAAAGATTTTTTTTTGCTTTAGTTCTCAGTTAGTTTTTAGTTTAAGTTTTTAGTTTTTGATATTTAAAGAAATTTTGCGGTCCTTTTTGTCTATATGATCTAAGGTTTAAAAAAGTAGGCGAATAGATTTTGCTCATCGAGATGCCACCTGACAGGCTGATACCTTTTTGGTATTCTCCCAAACCGGCGAACTAAATTGTAAACGTACAATTTCATAGAACGTATGTTATAAGTTTTGGCTTGAAATTTTTTCTAAATAAATGCGTTTTTTCTGCGCTCTTCACCCCTGAAAATGTGGGGGTGTTTGGTTACCTGATAGACGAAAAAGGGTAGAAATGAGATGTAGTATAGAAGGGTGAGGGTGAGGAGGGTTCGACAGATCTGCATCTGCTTCTTCCTACAAGAGCGGGCACTGCCTGCAGCTCCTGGGGCTGATGGTATCGCACACGGGTCCAGGTCAATGGCAAATTTCGACTTTCCGGAATCTTTTCCCGAAGAAGTTGCCTGCTCTGAATAACAAAACGAATTATTTAACAAGAGCAGTTAGCTGAGAAATGTATGTATCACAGAAAAAATCGCCCAACATTTCTCGTCTTTCTTCGGATTTTTGAGGCGACTATGTTTACAAGAGTCATTAATAAATTATTCTCCAAAGCATTTTCAGCCAATCGATTGACCACACTGTAACCTTTTTATGATTTGTCTTGAAGGTTCTATTTTAGAATTTAGAGATTCTCCCGGAGCGAGGTGTTCGATTTATGTTTCGACTTTCTCGACCCAAAATTCACATGTTTCGACCGCCTTGACCAACAGCCCTGATAAAATTATGAAAATTGTCTAATTTGAAGTCCCCCATTATAAAAAAAAATTTGCAACCATATGTAATGCCATTTATGGAAAGTGTGTAATTTTAACATAAAGTTTCTCCAGCAATTTTCAATGATGGCACTTTTTGGTCAAATCGGGTGGTGCTGCAAGAAACCGCACTTTTCGGAAGTCGGCGTTTGTTAGTTTTTTGAAGATGAACGGAACAATCGAGTTTGCAAAAACGATCATCAAAAATAAATCTGAACGAGCTAAGTGATGTCTCATATGCTTATATTGGGCTATAGATTTGAATCGAATCAAAATCCAAAATTTTCTCAGGTTAAAAATTTTTCAGCAAATCAAATGAATTAATTGATTGATTGGCTTACTAAAATGTCAATTTTTTTCAGCTTATTTTAATTTTTAGATAGATTTGAATCTCGCCAGCATGCAATTTGTTTTAATGGGAAATATTCTGTTGTGCAAATAAACAGCTGGCTTTTGTTTTTCTGCTTGTTGTTTCGGATGATTTGCAACAACATTGATTTTTATCGTGCTGTTAACAATTTTATTGGATTTGAATGTTTTTGGTTGGCTCCTGTAATTTATAAATTAACAATTTCTCTTGTTCTTCTGCAATTTCCTTGGTTTTTTTCATAAATCTATTTTTGTGTAATATTTTTCGACCGTGTTTGACCTAGATTTTGACTGCGTTCGACCTATGTTTCGACTATCACGACTGATATCGGGTATGTTTTGATTTTGTGCTGGACTTAAGTTGCTGAGCTTCTCGACCGCGGAGTGTCAGTCGAAAAACTGCACTTGCTCGACTTTCAAAGTCGAAACAATAGTCCGGCACCTCGGCTCGGCCTGAAAAACTCTTAACTGATCCGTGTTTAATTTCTTCTAGCTCGTTACTTTTTTCGGCTTGCTTTTCAACAAAACGAGTCATACACCTAATTCAAACTAGGAAAATCAGATGACATTGTTATCATGCCAAGATTCTTGCATGAATTTTGAATGTTTTATTGTAGCAATTTAATGGGGTACGATCTCGAAGAATCGCAAAAAGTCTTGTAAATAATAACCAGAACTTTACAAAAAATTATCGGAGTGAAATGTTTTTCTTACATTTGAACTCAGGAAGTTGATATCTTCAATGGGTTATAAAAGTTTTTTTGAAAATTATTATTTTGATCGGTGAAAATTGACTGAATAAAAAAAACCACTTCGAGTATAAATATTTTCGTTTTCTTCGAAAGTTGGAACAATAAAGACTGACGGATGCATTTGTAGTTCGAACTTTGAACTAATACCCTCCCCAGATCATTTAAATGACAAACCAGCCAGCCCTGGTCGAGGTATTTGACTATGCTCTCTCTGACTGACACAACCAAAGTCGAGTATGTTTCCACAATCTCAACCAAGTTTGATGTCTGTTTTGACTTTTTTGATCGAAACCATGAATGAAGCCCTACTTTGTTCGAGCAAACCCACATATATATATATTTCGATCGTAGCAACCAAAATTGGCTTTTGTTTGTTGCAAGAATTGAATCGAAGAATGCTTTCCAGATAAATCTTGAAGAATTATGACAATGAAAGCAAATACTTGAAAAACTAATACCTAGTTTTATTTATTGCGGTGAAAGGTTCTAAAAAAATATGTAATTATTAAAATCATTTTTTTTGTTTTTATAAACTTTTTTTGGACCTCGCCCTGAAACGAACATTGAAAACCTCGTCCTGAATCGAGAAGAGGATGCAATATTTATGAGCGAGGTTGTTCGTTTTTCTCCAGACAAACTTCAACTTTTAACCAGCTTAAAACGTTGTTTTAAGCTCAAGTTATAAAAACTAATCACCTAAGGTCCTTTTTTGCAAAGTTATCAAGCCCTAATTATTGGTAATTTTGCCAGCTTGGAAAAATTAACACGCGATACATTTCATACTAATAACGCGCGTGAACGGAGTTTGAATCCGCCTTGAAAATCATTTCAAACTGAAGTTATGCTTCCTACTTGGTCTATTTAAATAATTGTTTTTTTTTGCTGCCTATATCACTTTGTAATTTATATTTTGTGTGGAGATAATTTTGTTTAAAAATACTACAATATTGAAAATAAATTGAAAATTTATCCGTTTTTCCAGTAAAAAGGAACACCACTCCATAAACCTTATAAGTTAGTCGGAATTTTTAGATCCTCGCCTTGAGACGAGCAGTTTTTTCCCCTCCAAGAAAACGTTTCGATGAAAATTGAGACACGCTATTTGGACTAATTATTGCTTTGCTTAGTATTAGACATAGCGTGAGGGGAGATGATTAATAAATAAAAAATTGAAAGAAATAGTACACTAGAAAGTTTTTTAGGGAAATTTATCCAAGAAGGAACACCTCTACATAGAACCTAAAGTCTAGTCAGTATATTCAGGGTTTCGCATTATTACGAGCAGTTTTTCTGTCTTAGAAGTTGTTCCGATTCACTTTGGTCTTTTTAATAATTGCATATATCATACTTAATAAAATGCATAGCGTGCAGGAGGATCATTTTTCACAAAAAACTGAACTGAAAATTGCAATATTCAAAACATTATTTGAAATTTCATCCAATTTCTCCAAAAAAGCCGCAAAAAACACTTCTACATAGACCTTAAAGGCTAGTCAGAAAACTCAGGGCTTCGCCTTGATACGAGCAGTTTTTCCGTCTCCGAAGTTGTTACAATTTAAATTGAGACACTCTATTTGGTCTAATTAATTCTTTGCTCATGCAAAATATATCATTTAGTTCTGAACATAGCGTGCGAGGAAATGATGTTTACAAAAAAAAATCTGAACGAAATTTTACAAAAGTTTTTTTTTGAAAATTTAAAACTTTTCCACCAAAAAAGCCGAAAAAGAACAGCACTACAAAAAACCTAAAGGCTAGTCGGATTATTTAAGGCTTTGCGCTATTTGAGTAAGCTATTTGGTCCAATTAATGCTTTGCTAATGCAAAATATACCACCTAGTATTATTGATAGCGTGTGGTGAGATATTTTTAATAAAAAAATTCTGAAATAAATATCACAAAACATTGCTTAATTTTTTTTAAATTTGTCCATACCCCACAAAAAGCCAAAAAGGAACAACACTACATATACCTTACGCGATAGTCGAGATATTCAGGGCTTTGCCTTGATACGAGCATTCTTAGAAATTGTCGCAGGTCAAAATGAGCTATGCAATTTGGTCTAATGAATTCGTTGCTTATGCAAAAAATATCATATAGTGTTATAGATGGTTTTTTCTGAATTTTTAATTTTTTCTTATAACAAACACTACTCTGTAAACCTCAACAAACAGTTGGAACATTTGAGGCTCGGCCTTGATCCAAGCAGTTTTGTTTTTCAGACTCAGATTATGTTTTTATTCTCCAGACAAAAAGCTATTTACTAGCAATTTTTGGCAATTTATGTATAACGCTTAGAAGATATCGATGTCTTGAATTCAAGTTGAAGAGGTCATTTCTTCTGTGATCATTTTTGTGTAGTTATGGTGTTTCAAAGTTGCCAATTAGGCCATTATGGGATAATTATGCGTAAGATATTTCGTTAAATAACGCACAAGCGGAGATTTAATCCGTCTTGGAACTAGTTGTAAATAGAAATGAGGCTTGCTATTTTATTGTTTGCTAAATATATCATTTGAAAGATTACATAGCTTTTACAAAAAAAACGAAGAAAAAAACTACTTTTGTTTCGATTTTTTATTTTAAAAAATATCCAGCTTCCCCCAAAAGGTGAAAACTACTTCACAGACTTTGAGGGGTAGTCGGAACATTCAGGGCTTCAGTATGGTACGTGCAGTCTTGCTCCGTCTTAGGAATCATTCGAAAATAATTTGAAACACGCTATTTTGTCTAGCATATACTTTGCTTAGGCAAAAATATCAGTTAGTAAAATACATAGCGTGTGGTGAGGGTTTTCAAAAAATTTCTTATAAATGTACGCAATTTTTTCCACTTTTTTCCAAATAGTTTTTCATTTTTTAAAACAAACACTTCTCCGCAGATCTGAAAAGGCAGTCGAGTCGGAACATTTGAGATTTGGCCTTGATACGAGCAGTTTTAATTTTTCTGACATTTGAAGAAACTGGCGGATTATTATGCTCGGAGTGATTGTGCTTTTATTCTCCAGAAAAATTACGGTTTCCAACTAGCAGTTTTTGAAATTTTTTGCACAAGATTTAGAAGTCATTGATTTCTTGAGCTCAAATTTCAAAAGTAATTTCTTTGTGATCATTTTTTGTAGTTATGGGGTTTTAAAGATAGCCAATTAGGCCACTTTGGGACAATTTACGCGCAAAATTTTTTGTACAAATAACGCAGAAGCGGAGATTTAATCCGTCTTGGAACTCGTTCAAATCTCTTAGAAATTGTTCAAAATAAATTACATATTTGGTCTATTTATTTTTATGCTTCTGCGAAATATATCATTTAGTATTTTACATAACGTGTTAAAAGGGTTTTCAAAAAATCTCAAAAATTTTTTTTCCCAATAATTTTTCAATACTTAAAAGCGAACACAAAAGCAGGCGGAACATGCGAGGTTTGTCACTGATACAAGCAGTTATGTTTTTTTCCGACTTGCGAAGAAACTGACTGAATATTTGTGCTCGAAGTGGTTATGTTTTTATTCTCGAGACCCAAAAATCAAAACGTGA